AATTGCCAGCCTCACAATTCTGAGGCAGCTGTCCTTAGACATGTGATTTTGTTTGCAGAAGTATTCCACAGAGATATCCCCCATCTCACAACAATCATGCACACTTGAAATGTTACATTGGTTATTCACTGTATGGAAACCAGGAGAGAGCTTTAAGCCAGCTGTCACTCACTTGTGAGCCTGACTGCCACATAAGGTGGTGGCAGTGCCTGACAACACTGCCACATTGAAATCTCAGCCCTCCAGATATGACTTTATTCTCAGCAGTATAAGAGATGGGAAACAGCCATGAGCACTTTAATATTTCATCCTCAGGAAAAGACTTTTAAAATTTTACTTTATAAGGCTTTCTCCAGCCTCAGGTAAATGATCTAATTCATTTCCGGGGAGGAAGTGTATTTTTAAACCTTGCCTGCTGATGCTGCAGTTTGGTAGGGTGTGCTCAGTAGAATGGTTATTCTAAAACAAAAAAATAGCCAGTGGTGCTGCTGAGGTGATGACGAACACTAGTCACTCAAGTCTGCACTCAGAGAAACAAGGACACCCCCATAAGTTCAGGAAATAGGAGAAGTCTCCATGTTTGCTTACATGCTCACTGGATGACTTGTTTTGGTACACCAGTTTAATCCACTGGGTCCAACCAAGGCCTCCAAACTATAGGTAACTGCTCAAAGCAGCTCATCTGCACTTGCAAATAAACCACGTTCACTTTTTCAGTTTCACCAATTCCAGCAGTACAGGTAAATGCAAGCAACCCAAGAGTTATGTGCACACATCACAGAGTGAGCTCTTAGGTATGTGAAAAAATGAAATTACTCTTCAAGCTCTGCTACAATTCAAAAACTTTAACACAAAAATATGCTCAGACCATCAGAGATGGCAAAAGCTGTACCAGAGACTAGTTTGGGCAAGGGCTTAGATTTAAAAGGCTTGAATTTTCTTAAAATAACGATCAACCAGTTCAAAGACAAGAACACTGAAGGTCTCTTTATTGTTTCCTTTGTATGCTGAAGTCTCATAGACTTCATACTGTAATCTTTGACTTGTTATGTCAGAGAAAATCCCACAGACACAGAAATAAGAGGCAATCGTATGCCCACCCCTTTTATTAGCCCAGTGCCTCACCCACTTGGTTATTCACACACACAGCAGTGAGAATACACTGCTCATCTCACCTGGCTCTCACATTATCTTTTGTAATGGCAAATTGCAGTGCCCCTCAGCTACAATAAATCCAGGCAGTTTTTCTTTTCAAGACAGGTACCTCAAAAATTGTAAGCCACAGATGTAAAGCAGACAAGGCCAAAAAAAATTACTTTTGATTTAGCTTATGCTGATGTCATTCTAGAGACTTGACTTTTAGTTACTGGGCATTTGCACCATTATGGGAGCAGAATCCATCTCCCAAGGACAGGTTTTGTTGTAGTAAACTGGTTTTACTCCAGCTAGTCTGTAAAGTCCTTCCCTTGGTGTATTTACATAGCTATAAGCAAGTCAGAACATCTTTCAGAGAAGTGAATTGCAGCCAGCAAAACCACAGCCCTAGGCTGATGCAGAGTGGGTAGGGTTTTAAAACTTTGTGCAGCAGTTAGTGGTTAGGCACATAAATGCACCCCACCCTCCTGCCCCAGGCAAGAGAGAATACACAGCCAGTGCAGAGTGTACCTCATGCATTGGGATACATCACTTGGCTTTAAACAAGATCAACAGACTTCAGAAAAATGAGAGACAGGGGTAATACATATGTGCCTTAAGACATAGTATGTTGACTTAACATCCCAGATACTCAGGGCAATGCTTAGAGGGAAAAGGCCTGGTTGTTGTGCCCAGCAAACTGTTAAATGGAAGTGATGCTCCTGACAATCTGGAAGAGAAGAAGCTCAAACTGGAATTTCTAAAGTATCCTTTACTATTACTTTCCATTTTGGCTTTGCTACTACAGATGATGCCCATAGGAGAATTAAAACATGTCACTGTCCTGAGAATGCTGATGTGTCAGCCCCAGTGCTCCTCTGGTACCACATGATTATTGAGAGGGTACATAGATAGTATCTTTCAACTGTGCAGCCAAACTGGTGTACACTTGGAAGAAAAAATAATCTGATCACTAAAATCTCAACACAGAAATACCAAAGAAAACAAAACCAAGGAGCACATTTTCCTTTTGGTTCCCTGGGGAAACTAATTTCTCTAAAGGGAAGTGGTATGTTCAGCAAATAGAGATCAATAATTTTATTACCCAGTGCTCAATTTCCTACACTTTATTCAATTATTTTGCTTACCCTGAACTATTCTGATCACAAGAGCAATCAAAGAAATCAAACAATAGCATTACAGTGCTTAATAAACACTGTATTGCAATGAATGTGAACATACTGGTGATCTTAGCTGAACAGCATGAGAAACACTCAGCAGCGTGCCACAAACATGCCAGAATCAATGACACACGGATAATCTGTTTTCCTCAAGGGAAACAGATGAGCAGTTTTTGAGAGGAAGATTTCAGTCTGAATCTGGTTTGCCAATTGAAGAAAACATAATATCCATCACTCTTGTGTTTCTGCAGTAGAAATACTGGAGAGTCACTGGACAGTGCCTGATGACTCTCTAGTTTCCAGCCCTGTCAGGGGCTTCTGGCCAAGTGTTTTTGCAGTACTGTGTGAACACCAGGTAAATTCACAGGTAAATGGAGCAAACACAACTAAACATTAGTACCAACATGAACAAGATCTTTTCCTAAAGTCACTGCCCATCAGTGAATACTGATGACAATATTTCCTTTCCTCTACTCCAGGTGTAGCACACTAAACTCACACACCCAACGTGTGGCACCATTGCTCCACAGCCCCAGTTCCAAACAATCTGTCATCTCTCCTGGGGTGGGGCATGCGGGTGTTGCTCTAATTAAGTGCAATGATAATGCACAGGATGACTTTTTCATGTGTTATGTTCCTGTAAAATCTTACTGGAATCTCACCTGGCAAATGATCTGAAATCTCAAACTTTCTGTTTTTCTTGTGCAACTCATCTGTTAACATGTCTGTACAACAGAGCATGAGTAATTTAAAGCAGGGACCATCCTTGAGATTGAAGGAAATACCCTGTGAACTTGGAGACATGCCATCACAAAGCTCCAGAGTATCTGAGATCCAACCCTCTTGATAAATTTGCAGCAGAAGTTCTATTAGCACCTTCACTGTTGCACTCAGGAGTCCATTTTTCACATATGTAAAAATTAAAATATTTATGACATTAAATTAGCTGAAGGTTTAAAAAAACAAACTCAAAACCAAAAACCAGGCAGATTTAAAAAATGCTTCCAAACTGCCTCAACACTTGGGGTATCGTTCAACAGGGTTTTTTTGATAGATGGTTACAAAACACAGAACAACACCACATAAGGTAAATTCCCACATTTGCTACTGAAAATATTATTTCTAAATCAATTTCACCCACAGATAAAATCTTATACAAGGTGTAACCTTAAGGCCTCAAGTTCTCAGATTTCCCAAAACAGCTTGTTGTAGATGGGATTTGAACGCTTTGATACCTTTTACTGCGGGAAAGTAAAAGGTTGCTGTCAAATCCTGTTTGAAGTGTGTGAATCTATGAAAACTCATGGTCAAAACCCCAGCAACTGCTAACATGTTATCACACCTACAACACTCAGTGCTTACTCACCTCTCACTCCAGACTCTCTCTGGTCTCAACAGAGATAGGAGTTACACAAGGTGAAGAGAAAATAGTGTCCTCATCTGCAGCGGTGAGGAGGATCCAGGCAGGAAATTAATGCAGCCCTGACACACAAGCTAAGGGCATGATCCAGCGAGAGCATGTGGGTGCCTGTACCCCCCGTGCAGCTCTCAGCACAGCTGCGTGAGGCATGGATGCACAGCTTGGAGCCCTTTGGCTGTGGGCAGTGCTGGAGGAGCCCTGGAAATCACCCCTAAGGATTGGGAGCTGTTGTTGCCATGGCTTCCTCAGCTCATTCTGTTGGTCCTGACAGTTACAGCTGAAAAACGTTTTGTACAAATCAGTTTTGAGAAAAGTAAATCCACATGGGGAAGCCAGGTGCAGATAGAGACAGGAAGATCACTCTTGCTTCGGCAGTGCCTTTGAGCGTCAGGGAACTCTCTAATCCTGAACTGCACAGTGCAGCCCCAGCTGGGATTGCTCCTTGTCACAGTCACCATCTCCCTGTTTCTCCAGTCAGATTTCTTCATTTTCTCTTCTTTCCCATAAGCATGACAGTGCTGCTCAGGTCACAAATCTCCCAGAGTCCCTCAGTTACACTTTTTCCCCTTATGTGAGGGGACAGTTCCTCAGATAAAGCCTTTTGCAGCTTGAGTTGGAGAGCTGTGGCTGCCTTGGCTGTGATAAAGGGCCTGCTGTGCTACCCATGGTGGGAGTGCTCCATGCTGAGGCAGAACCCTCCTCCCTGCCCCAGTGACACTTGCAGGGACATTGTCTTATCCTCTTCAGCTAGGCCAGGGAAGGTTTAGGTTGGTCACTAGGAAAAATTTCTTCATGTAAACAGTGAGTGGAATTGGAGCAGACTGCCCAGGGAGCTCCTGGAGTCACGACCACCCCTGAAGTGTTTAAGACTGAACGTGGTATTTAGTGTCATGGTCTAGTTGACATGGTGTTGCTGGGTCACAGGCTGGATTCAATGATTTTAAAGAACTTTTCAGCCTAACTGATCCTGTGAGGTGGCACCTGGCCTCGGCCCAGACCCCAGCCATGGGGTGGCGGCCCCACGCTGGCCTAGAGACACAGCACCGCCTGGCATGCCCGGATACAACAGGGAAGACTACGAGGTACCCGGGGATGCTCCGTGTTTCCCACTCGGGGATGGGGATGGGGATCGGGATCGGGATCGGGACCTCCCTCAGGCTCCGCCCCCGCCCCTCAGCCCCACAGCGCCTCCCCCTGCGCGCAGGCGCGAACAGCTCGCGCCGCCCGGGCAGGCGCGTTGCGCAGGCGCAGAGCCGCCCCTGGCGGGCAGCGGGAGCTTGAAGCGCTGAGGGGAGCGCGGCACGGAAGGGCGGCTCCGCCGGTGCTTTCCTTCCTCGCCCCGGTCCCGGGGGGTTTGTGCTCCCCAGGGGGACTCCCTTCGCTACTCAGCCCTGCACGTCGGCGCTGTGGCTGCGTTGTTGGGGTGTAGCACCTCAGAACGAGCTCCACGGGTCTGTGGCTGTGCTTATGGCTGCCCAGCATTCATCCTGCTTCTCTGCGGGTGGAGAACTAGCAAGGCAAAAGTTTCAGTGTTAATAGTGTTGTGTTAAAAGTATTTAGCGTTAATAGAGCCTTTTGTTGTTGAGACAGTAAAAGGAGTGAGTGCCTTTATATAACGTAGCTATAAGCAGGAAAACTGAGGACGTAGTTACAGACGTACTCAAAGTGCAGAAGTCAAGTAAGTACTGAAAAGCAAAGTTGTCTTTTCCCCTTCTCATTCAAATTCTCTTTACTTGCTGGACAGATTTTTTTTTGTGCGGTGAACAGCATTGCTGGTTGAGAATGCCAAGGATTCTTAGTCGAAGATACAGCAGAAGGATTTTAAGAGTGCAGGAGATCTGTGTGAATATGCTGCCAAGTAACAGCATTAGCAAACCAGTGGAAAAACTATTTGTTATGGTTATTTAAAAACAAATTTGCATTAGAAAGTAAAGGCAGAGAATCGTAAGATTGCTTGGGTTTTTTAAAGCTATCTCTTAGACTTAAAATTATTTTGCTCCTTGGGAAGACTTACTATATATTTGTGATATACAGTATGCATAAGAATGATGTTGCTTTTTCTAGGCTCTTGCTTACAACAAGAAATAATAATATTAAGCTTCAATTATATTTAATGGATGCTGTGGGCTTCCTGTTTAATTGATAGATTGCTAAAATACCCAATTAACTAGACTCCTTACTAAGGTCTGGGTTTCTTTAATAGAGTACCATATGTTCAGTTTTGAACAGCTGTGTGAGGATGTTGACTTCTAAGATAAATGAGGACCTCCATGCTTTGGTATCAAGCCAGGAAGACCAGGGTTGCTGGGCTGTTAAGGCTCTGGCTTACTGAAGCTTTGGCAGCTTTCATCTGTGAAGAGGAAGCCCCTTGTGCCAGCCCTGTGTTGCCTGGTTTTGGTTTGCAGGATTTTATTCTTGAGAGGCTTCTGTTTCAAAGCCCGTAATTGCAATTTGCAGGTGAGTGGAAGTGTAGCTGTTGATTTTTCCAGCTGCATTCTGGTCATCAATTGCTAAATGAAATTAAACATTGCCAAATCGATTTGAAGTTGGCTCATGCTGGGAGGTGTGACTTAACCATTTTAATTAAGGTGCCTTTCTGAGTGAGCTTGGGATGTTATCTGTTAATCAAAACTTCCACCTGTGTGAGTAATTACTTTTTAAAGCAGCACCCCCAGAAGGATCAAATGAGACTGGATTGTTTTCAGAGACCAGGATATCCAATTATATTGTTCTGTAAAAAAGATTGTTTATATTTGTCGACAACAAAAACCTTCCTGGCTCCACAGAGCTTTAGGGGAAAAATAATATATAAAATGGATAAAATTTCTATAAATTAAATATATTTTATATAATTAAATATATGTTATATAAAGTTTATGTAAAATATATAAAATGGATGATAGAAGACTTTATGGCAGTTAGTAGTGTCATGCATCCTCTCAAAGAAAAGCTGTTCACAAAGCAAGATGCTACTTAGCACATGAAACAGTTGTGTAACTTATGCAGATGTCCTTTTTCAACATGCCAATTAGAAAATAAGCCTTAGAATTTCATATTAGAGCTTTTTACTCATTTCTGCAGCCAAGGGCTCCTTACAATCAGGTGACAATGACACCATAATTCATTGTGTCATTTAGCAGAGACAGCTGTTCATCTCGAGATGGAAGAGTCAGTGCTGGATAAATTGCCATCCTTGTGCAACACTCCAAAGGATTCTGGGGCACCACCTGCACAGGGGACTAGTTCAGGGAAACAGGTATGAAAACTTCCTACTTTTCCAATAATATCATTGTTCACAGTAACAAAATTGCTGGTGAAATCATCAAGGAGTCAGAAGTCACTGAGACAGTGCTTGCTGGAAGGCTGGAGACAGGCATCTTACACCTCTAGCTAGGAGGCTGTGCAGGTAGGGAATGTGCCTGGGGTACTTTGCTGTGAATATAAAGTGATGGAGCAATGTAACCCAATGTCATACTAATAAACTTAAATACTCTGTAGGGTGTGTGGTGGATTTTTTTTTTCTTCTTTGTTTTAACCTGTCATCTTCAGTTTTCTCAAATCCTAGTTTTCTGGGTTGCTGTGCATGCAGGATGATTTTCTGTGACTTCTCTCTGCAGTGGAACAAAGTACAATGCTTTCAGTTTGTATATTGTCCATAGTGCTGAGCTCTGCTTTGGTCTTACCCTGGGATATGAAATGGTGATACTGTCACACTCAGCATCCAGATCTCTGCAGGACAGGCCTGGTTTGAAAGTATTCCATAACTAATCCCTCACTCCTGTATTAGTGCATTTCTATAAATAAAAATGTTTGACACAGATTATAAAAAATAGTTATTCTGAAGAACAAAAAGTCTTTTTAGATGGTTGTGAATTATCTCAAAGAACATACCTCCATTAAACCTTACCTCCATTAAACTAGGGGGAAATTGATAGAATAAAATGAGCCAAGTTGAAATATGCCATTTTTTTTACATGAACACCAAATGAGTAAGTTTGCCTCAATAGAATACAGGATTTTGTCCAAGAAAATGTGAAGCCACACCTTTCCATATCTTGCAGCTGTGTGTGCAAGTACAAGTGAGAGGAAGAAGTTGACTTTGTTCAAGTTTTTGAAGGCTATACAGAGAATGAGGAAGTCTGGCTTTCAATGATAGTTAAATATATTACACATTCTGTGTAAATAATAACGATTGGTAAACAGTTATTTGATAAAAAATTAAGAATATTCTGACCACCTGGGTTTATTAATTTTATTTTTTAGCAAATGAGTGCAGCTCTGAGGGAGAGATTAAGGAAAACAAGGCGTTCATTTAATGCCAGTTTTACAGTGGCAAAGCGGCTCAAAATAGATTCTGAAGAAAAAGACACTGCTGGTGCTGCCACAGGGTGCTTGCCAGAGACACGGACAGACTGCTCCAGGTTACAAGATGGTGCTGGAAACCTGGAAGGAAATGGCACTGAACATACATGTTTCAAAAGTCCCTCACAGGAGAGTGATCCCAGTGGATCAGCACAGAATTCGGATGTGCTGCAGGTTGATCTTGGTCAGCAGCAGTCCCTTGAAGAGAAAGTAAAGCTGGAGAAACAAGTGCAAGAGAAGGAAGAGCTGCTTCGTAGGCTCAAAATGGTGAAGATGTATCGATCCAAGGTGAGGCAATACTTACTCACTGGTTCTTTACTGTGGTGCTTGTGTATTGTCTCAGTTAAGGCATTTTATAAGAATATCTGCAGGGTCTTAAAACCCCCATTATGTCAGCAGATGATGACTTTTTTTTGTTTGTCCCAATTTCAGAACAACCTGTCTGAGCTGCAGGCTTTGATAGTGAAGTGGAGGAGCAGCACCCAGCTGATGCTGTATGAGCTGCAGTCGGCCTTTTCTGCAGATGGCAGCAAAGTGAGTCTCACTCAGCTCATCGACACTTTTGGGTTAGAAGACCAGTTACTGCACTACAGCAGAACAGAAGAAGATTTTGTAGATGCATAACCTACAGCTGCAGAGAGCTTTCTTTGCACAGACAGAAGAGTAGACAATAAATTCTGAATAAATTCTGATTGTGTCAGAAGTGTTGGTCAGACAATGGACTTTATGCTTTGGTGTTAGGAGGTGAAGCTGTGTGCATACATACAGTAGGCACTGTAAAAGACATTACTTAATGGAAAAAAAATCAAACTGGTGATCGGACTTTATGCTTTGGTGTTAGGAGGTTTTCTCCAGACATACTTGTGAAGCTGTGTGCATACATACAGTAGGCACTGTAAAAGACATTACTTAATGGAAAAAAAATCAAACTGGTGATGTTTTGGAGAATCTGGCTTAAGGACTTGGTCAGTGAATTTTTATTTAATAAAAATAAAATGAAGTCATTGTTTTATGGGTAGAAAGCAGTCAATTTTTTTATTAGTGTCTGCATGGTTACTTGTATGGAAATAACTCAAATTGTCAATTCTGTTTATGTTCAGATGGGGAAGAGTTCAGTTTGTTTATAGATACACTCATTTTACACATGTCTTCCTGGTGCCAGTCAGCCAGTGAAGGCTAATGATAGCAGTTTGTGAGTTAAGTGAAGATAACTAATTTTCATTATGGTAATATTCCAGAGCTGAGATAAGATGTTTTCACTAGCTTTAGCTCCTACTGAGGGAAATGTGTCATAATGCAGTTGCTTTCAGGTCCTGGTGCAGACAGTCTCTTCAGAGCTGCTGTCTCATAAGCATTCTGCTACAGCCTGAGGTAATAGAAGGGAAGGCAAGAAAATTGAAACCAACTTTCTATTCTACTATATCTGAGAGCCAAGGTGTTTTCTCTCTTCAAATAAATAAGAAAAACAAGGCCTTGTTTAATGGGATTGCTTCAAACACAGCATCATAAAGCTGAATAAATCTTTACAATTTCATTTATTCTCCAACAAATGCCTTTTTTGAAAGTTGTTTTTATTTAACTTGAAATTGCTTATTTTCTCATCATGGTACCTTTTGTTTTTTATTTTCCCTAAAATCACTGCTTCTCAAGTGTAACAATACATAAATCTTAATGACTATACAACTCTCCCTGTTAGGAATCTTGTTTTCTTATTGGTTATACCCTCCCTCTTTTGTTTGCAGGTGCTATATCCTGTGTCCTTAATAAGGGAGTAATTTCTTAGCTCAAGAGAAAGAAAATCAAAGATCATACAGAACCTTTTAACCATTGGTAAGGCTCATTAGACTTCAGCCTGTACCTACAACTTGCTCTTGAGCATACTGACTCTTGCTGTCCGGAGAGAATTAATGCAGAACAGCCTTTATTGCAAATCACATTTTGAGTATTAAAGCACTATTCCTCTGCCTTTTTGGGCATGTGCAAAAAGATGATGGTGCCTGGTGCAGGGGCCAGTTATCTTCCCCAAGGTTGGAATGATGCTGCTTCTAGGGCAGTTTCAGCAGAAAGACAAAAGGTCTTGTAGTAAGTGAGATGTAATTAGAATCCTTACAAATCCCACTTAGAGATGGCAAAGCAAAAAAAGATGTACAGGATCACAACTGACATAGTAGAATTTTAAGCTAAGGTCTCAAAGCTACAATGTCACTTTATGAAAGGAGAAGGATTGACACAGACCATGGAGTGGGAAAATGAAAAGCAGGGAGAATGCCCAAGAAGGTAGATCAGGCTCCAGCAGTAGTGAAGGGATCACAACTGACATAGCAGACTTTAAAGCTAAGGTCTCGAAGCTACAATGAAAGGGGTTTAGATGCCATGTCACTTTATGAAAGGAGAAGGATTGATACAGAGCATGGAGCAGGGAAGTGAAAAGCAGGGAGAATGCCCAAGAAGGTAGATCGGGCTCCAGCAGTAGTTAACTTTATCACAGGTTCTTTATTTTTCTGTGGTGGAAGGAGCTGGCAGGAAAATACATTGCATCTCAGTGTAAAGGGATGGGAGATGCCAGCAACTATTTCAGGAGGCCAGATGCTTCCAAACCTGGTTTTCTTGTCATTGTGCCCGTGGCAGCAGCCACAGTTCCTGCTGGCTGTGGGTGATTATACCACAATGAGGCACAGCTGCCTTTGGGACAAGGCCAGGTTGCACACATGGTTGTTTTCTGTAATGAGCTATATGGTTTACATAATAACACCAGTAGAAATAAATCTCATCAACTGTAATATAATGGGGTTAAGGCCAGGTATAAAAAATACAAATCAGACAACCATGCATCTTTCAAATGGAAGTTATTTAAAGGAATTGCAGAAGAAACAATTTGTGGAAAGAAAAGTTCAGAGGGAAGAATCAGCTGTCAAAAGTCTTTTCCCTTAGATAAGACCATGGTGTTATTAATCTATTATTAATCTCTGATTTTTAAATAATATTTAGTGTTCTTGGATTCCAACTCTCAATTTCTGATTGAAGAATTGCAAGCTGTTTTTCCTGTTCCCTTATAAGGTTCCGTAGATATTTCTGCTTCAGAATCTCTTGGTAACGCTGCCTTGTGATCTCTTCAGAAATATCCCTTGTGTCTGCAGAAAACAAAGTATCAGTGTTAGCTTGTGCTCACTGTGTAGTCTATATGGGACCTGTCCTGAGGTTATTCCAATTTCTGTATAAACAGGCAAGCATTTTAAAAAAGGCTCACAGTTGGGTTTAAGAGCCATTATAGTACTGAATAAAGCAAAATATTCCAAAAAGGCACTGGGCATGCTTTCTTTAGCTTCCAGCAAGTACCCAGTGTGTTGCCAATCTGTAACTGTTTTCCACTAGTGGAAAGATCTCTCTTAAGTTTTCCTAATAGTGAATACTATTCTTAGCTCCACATTACTTTCTCTTCTCTTGGAAGGGTGGAAAGAAGCCCATTGAACAGCTCTCAGAAAAAAATGAAAGCATGTTGCCTAATGAAGTTATTAATGACTGTAATATTTTGAATTGAACATTTCCAGGAATTCAGCTAGCTTTGGTTAAAAAGCTACAAGAGTCTCCAGGTAACTCTTCAGTAACCATGTTAGTTTTGGCAGGAAGGACTCTGCTCACTGTGCAAACACACAACAGACAGGCATTCCTTGCCCCTCAGCTGATGCTGGAGAACTGCACTGTCCAGCCTTGGAGTTATTTTCTGAATGTTTTTGCTTGTGCCTTAAGTGCATCACTGGACTCACCAGCTGCCTCGAAGATGTGCATCCTTTCTGACACAGAGACAAGCATTTCCTTCAGCTGCAGGCTGAGCTCGTAGTTCTCTTGCTCTTTCAGACAGATGCACTTCTTCAGCTCTCTGACTTTTTTCTGATGGTTTTTCACATTCTTCTTGTGCAACTGTCCATTTTGGGATGAATAAAGCAAATATATGAGGTCATACAAAAACTGTTTAGACAAACTTATGATGAAAAGTTATAATTTTAAGCACTGTGTTGTACCTTGATAAACTCTCATGTATGTTGATTTGACTAGTAGCACATGGTAAGCTTCACTTTGTAAAGCGTCTATCACACATGGTATCTCAGTTTACAGAGTTCTAATTTAAGGAACAGCCAAGGAATAAAGAGGTATAGGTCAGGAAGAGAGACATATTAAAGACAAAACTTAAAAGGCAAAGGGAGAAAAGGAAGTCAATGGAATCAGTGAGTTAAGGACATGCTCTAAGCTGCTGATGCTGATGGATGGGCTGTAAAGGGACAAGATAATACTAAAGCTTAAAGAGGAAGCTGATGCCAACTAGCACAACTTGGAGAAAATCCAGTGAAACCACTTAAAAAAAGGACAGTCATAATTTGAATGATGAAATACATGAAGTAGCCAGCAAATCAGATTGTTGTGTCTCTTATTTTGAATACAAAGGGGAGGGATACTTTGAACAGGCTGGTGCTCCTGGAGAGACATTAAACAGTGAAGATCAAAAGAATGCTCCATTAGAAATGGAGGAGCGACTTTTCTAGGCAATGCTGTGTAAGAAACGATTAGCACATCTGCATTCAGATGCTCAGGATAGGAAAGTATTTAATTCCAGTAACAGAGCAAGTAGACAGGCTTCATCTCTGCAGCAATCCATGTGTGATGACTGCTTCCAAACACTTGAGAACTGCTGCTGTAGACAGCACAGCTCAAGTTGAGTAAACTATTGAAAGGCAGATAGACAAATACATTATATTTCTATATTTATATCTATATATCTGTGTGTCTCTGAGATGTGGTGGTTCCCTTGGATTTACCTTATCCATGACACCAAGGCTCTGCTCCATCCCTGCTAGGTGCTGAGCAATGTGGGTCTCATAGTTATGCACAGTTAGGAACTGAAGAAATAAAACCAGAAAGAAATTACCACATGCCTGTTCATTCTTAACAATTCCACTCTTCTATGAAGAAAATCACACTATGTGAAACTCAAAACACTGGAATTCTGCAGTGGTAAAGCTCACTAGTGATCATAAATGGACCTTGTAAGGATATGCTTGGATGCTGTGTCAGTACTAGACTGTGCAGCTGTTAAAAAGGATGTTTTCTCTTTATAGTGGAAACAAGGGCCAAATAAGTATGCTGAGGCTGTCAAAAACCACACGCTATGCTTTTGCTTGTAATCTAAGCTAACATAGCTGGAGGCCTAAGACAGTCTGTCTTTAGGCTAGAGAGGAAGATTATTATTTTCTGTCTAGTGGCTTCCTAATAATTCTTACTTCTTTTATTCTATCTGCATAGTAACTGACATATCAGAGAATTTATTGATTTATTTCCTTGAGCACACTGCTACTAAAATACCTCTTTATCAAAGGACAAATGGTAAACCCCATAATGTTTTATGGATCTATTACAGGCAGTACCTAGGTTTCTGTAGATGTAGATTCATCCTTCCAGAGTACTGTCCCACCATAGTGACAGGCAGAATCCTGTGGAATGTTCTAGTTAGAGGAGGAGAAACAGGAAAGACCCAGAAGGGACTCCTTGCCTACAGGATTAAACTTCTTTCACTCACTGCTTCATTAACAGCCCTCATTCCAAATGGTCTCAAGTCTTTGCTCACACACATTTTTATAAGCCATCTTTCTTTCCATTCCTGTTGTTGGGGTATCTGTTACCTTGTCTTTCCTACTAACCCCGTATTTCTAATCAAAAAGTGACCTATGTCAATTCCCTCAGGGCATTCAAATTCTGATTAAACTGGTAAATGCCTTTACTATGGGCAGTTTAACTCTCTCTGAAGGGCAAGAGCTCTGCTCATCAGTTTAATGAACTGAGCTAACGGCAACACTGGTGATAAATATGCCACAAGAATTTTTCAATGCACTGTCACAACACCTCTTTGGAAAGCTGTTTTGGTGATTGGTGTTAGTAATGAAAATCCTGTGGCTGTGATTCAGAACAAGCATTTTGTGGACCAGCAATACAAAAGATTAAGCAAAACATATGTTTTAAATTTTCTTCTAATCCTTTGATTGAACTGCAATATCCTTAACTGCTGTCCAACACTTTCCTTTTTCTCTGTGCTTTATAGCTGTCCCCACTGCCTATCTCCAACCTACCCATCCTTCAACATCCCTTACTCCAAACCTTTATGCCACCCACATCATCACCATATGACCATAAAATTTCCCTACAGTCTTTTACATCCCATAATACCCTCAGGCTTTCCCTACAGCCTTTCTTCTTCCTCCTTTCTTCTCCCAGTGGTATCCTTGGCTGTGTCCCACAACCTTTACCTCTTTCTCCTGGCCTGCCAGCTGGGCTGGTTCGAAGCTGGGTAGGTGCTGACACGCTGCCCCTCCTGCCTGCCGGGCATGGCACACAACTCCCTGCTCTGCTGCTGGGCCAGCGAATGGCAGCGAGAGGGTGGGACTCGGGGGGGCTCCCCTGGGAACGCTCAGGCTCCGAGCAGAGCGAAGTTAAAAAAATGTCTGTGCCGATACCAGATGGGGGCCTCAGATCTTCCACTTAAAAGGACTGC